GCAGCAAAATGAGCGTTTCAACATGTTTGAGAAAACAGGCATCCAGTTCTTGGAAATCCAAAATGCTCAGCTTGCTGATTCAGGAATTTACACGTGCACAGTGGTAAACAGTGCTGGGAAGGCATCTGTGTCTGCAGAGCTCACCGTTCAAGGTACAGCAAAGAGTTTACAGGAGAGAGTACAAGTGAACCAGAGATGTTCCTTTAAAATATCTTTTGTTGTGTTTTCAGTATAAACATTTACTTTTTTTCTCACTATCTTCCTCTTCATTAGATACTGTGATAGCTTGGAGCGTGTTCCGGCTGAAAAGATTGTGTTGCTTCAATGGGAAAAAGGCTGTCCAAATGCTTCATAACAACTTTCTTTAAAACCAACTTTTTACTTTTACTGTGATTTTGATCTCCATATATTTTGAACATAGATTTTAATTTCAGCAAATAGAAACCTTGCAGTTGTCATTATAATCAGTAATTAATTTTGCATTTGTTGAGTACTAACACCAGATGCACCAGCTTCCTCTTGGGAAATAAAGTTGTATTTATACTTGTAGAACCACGAAAGTAAAGGAGCATAACTCTAAACTGTAAGAGAGAAAAATCAGCTGAATGAGACTAAAATTCAGGCTTCTCAACTCCCAATCCTGCCTATTTCACTACTGTTAAAGGAAATAAATGTATTTGTATAAATAATTTTGGATGTTCTGTTCCATATATACATTATCATAGACAGTTAGTTTTGCAGTTTGATGCTTCTTAGGGTGCCCTTTGCATCAGCCTCAAAATCTTACAGCCTTCAGCAACCACACTAAAGAGGAATTTAATCAGTCAGTGGGTAAGCAGTCACTGGACCCAATTAAATAATTAAATCACAGCTGCTAGCTTCAGCTGCAATCATAAGATCAGTGGGTTACATACACACTCAACAGTGAATTTTTTGCAAGATTTTTAGGTTCACATCAATGCTGTCACTCTGTGAGATGTGAAGAACATAAATAACAATTTAGGATTTACAAAAAAGGATTTACATTTGGGATCCTCAGAACCACTGAGGTTAAAGCTGTACTCTTTATCTCTAAGTTCCAATCTAATGAAGCCATTGTAGAAGGAGCTTCTACAGGTTGCCTATTCAACTGATGTTTTATAGAAAGGGCCATTTTGTTCAATAAGCCTTTTATTTAAACATGAAACTTGATCCTTACTTGCTCTCCCTGAAGTGGTGAGCTTTCTGTTGTGTAATGGGTACATCTGCCTTGAGAGATGATGCGGAACTGGGGTCACAAAGTCAGTTGTGGTATATGTTTGCCTCAGATGCTGACCACATCTCTGAATAATGCGGGCATTCTTTCTTGGATTAGTACAGGTCAGTAAAAAGGGCACGCTCTTGCAATGTACTTGACTAATCGGATGATTCCACCTACCTAACCACAATATATAATACCTAATTCTTTCACTATCAATTAAATCAGATCATAGGAGTTGCTGCAAGATGCTAGCAGACAATCAAATGGCTCAGAATTACTACATTTTCTTTTTATATCCATGCAATCTAATATATAGATAATCTTGTTCCAAGAACTACCTTTTTTCCCTGAAGTTCGCATAGAGAAAAGTGAAGAGGGAGGGGGAAAATGTTCTTTTAATTGACAGGGTTGCATGGTATGGTCTGATCTGCAACCAGTGGTTATTCAGCTTCCTCTTCTGCATTTATCCAGCCTCTTTTCAGCTTTAATTTTTATGTGAAGAATTTCTGTTACCATTTATTGACAAGTTTACTCAAGTGAGGTCAATGGGTTATTTCCCTCTCTCACTGCAACTTTTGTGTGTGTGTAAATAGATTCTTTTGGTCACTCTGAATGGTGCAGCAAGTCCAAGCATTCAGATGTGGATTTTTGCTTGCAAAACACCATGGAAATCAGGGTATCATCCATCACATGTTTTTGTCTTTTCCCTGGGGCAAAGGCTCTGAAAGCATTATTATGGAGTATTTGTTGATGACTTGCGAAATTCATTCTCTTGCAAATTCATTATTACATGTCTTTATACTGTAGTTTTTAGTCTCACCACTGACAACATCGTAGATGCAGCTTTGATCTGGCCAGGAGAAAACAAGCTGAATCCTGTAATGTTTACTAGGGAAGAAGGGAGAGCTGTGGTTGGTACTTGATCTGGTGGTGGTTCTCTCCTCTCAACTGTTTATTCTTTCATGCTGCCCCCAGAAGAAACAAATACTGTCAAGGTTTGGGAGAGATTTGCATGGAGGATTACATACATATGAACTAAGAGAATGACTATGGGCAAATATGTGCTTCAGTTATATCAATGCAGCTGATGAGGTACCTTGGCAAATCGGTATAGCTCAGCCATGTTCCCACATTTCCTGGTGGTGTGGCAAAGTGAAGAAACGTGATATATTAGCTTTTGTGTTATTCATGCTAAACATGGTAATGCTTGCCTCGCAGCAAGTGAGTTGGTAAAAGTTTACAGGTGGGCTTGGGTTTGGGGAGTATTTACTATTGTTGATCTGGTTTTGTGTTTTAGCCAGGGGACAGCTGCATTTTCACTGCATTCACAGTTTCACTGTGGGCATGCTAAGGGCTAGTACTAGTGGTTTGTCTTTCTCCACTTCTACAAGCTCTGTGGAGTTCACATAAGATTTGATGAGCTGCCTCCCAGTTGGAATCTCTTCCTTCTCTCTTCCAACAAGGAGCCTTTGAGGCTCACAGAAACTTTGGTTCTCAAGGGACTTGAGAACTCAGTTGACTCAGCAATGTCTCAAAATGGACCAAGACCTCTTTGTGTTTCAGCTTAGCAGCTTGCTGTTGCCCATATCAAATTTCAGGTGTGGTGATACTCAGTCTTGACTTCAATGGATTGAAAATATGAAGGGCAAAGGTTCTTAAGTATATTCTTTGCTTAAAATCTTCCAGATTTATGGAATTTGGTACAGTATTATAAGTTACCTGCTTTTTTCTTTTTTTATTTCAGGTTCAGATAAGACTGACACATACGCTCAACCATCATGGTATGTTTTCGCTGGAGTACTCTCTCAGAATATTTAATTGCAGTGCACTATTTTTGACCTTTACTGCATGAGCCTCCCTTACAAAGTGATAAATCTTTTGGGGTCAGTCTGTATTTGGAAGTTGGAAAATGTTTACTTGGAATGAGCTTCTCCCTTGCTGCCAAATTCAGCTGTCCTGGTAGACTCCTGCGAAATAGTTGGTGGAACTGGTGGCAACACTTTGAAGTACGGAGTTCCGGTCTGGTTCAGGAAAGCAAAATTCAAATGGCTTTATGCTCACTGTTCCCGTGTAGCCAAACAGTTATATAATCTGAACAAAAACTATACGAGGAGAAATTATACTCTGTACCAATTGCTCAAACTTCCTTTTTGGAGTTAAAAACCTGAATGCAGCTTGTCAGTACTGAGCTTGTTGTTCTTTCCTGTCATAAGCAAACTGTGGTATGGCCATGGTCTTTTCTGTTTTCTGAAAATACATACAAAAGTATGGGCAAAGTAACGAGAAACAACAACAAAAAATCGTATTTTAGGGCTTTATCAAGATTTTTAAAGTTAAATTACTATATTTTTTTTTAAATAATTTTGTAAAATGGCTTCTCTTCGTGAACAGAAAATGCAGGAATGAAATGCTCTAAGCTGTGTAAAACACCCTGATGAAAGCTAGTTGCTTTATAGTCTTCAGGGGGATTTCATGGCATGCACATTGTCCTAATTCCATGTCCACTGCAAAGTGGATCTGAAAATGCTGTGCTACCCTGTTTTTCAGGTCTGTGTGATTTTTAGGAACATACTTTTAAATGAGTTTTAGTGTAAATCAAATGGTGCAGCTCTACAGCCAGAACTTCCCATGTGCTGGGTTCTGCAGAGTAGTTTTGCCTCCTCCATTTCTTATTCATAAAAAAAAAGAGATATTTTGTAAAATTTAAAAATCTTACAGTTTTAACCGCAAAACTTGTAGACATGTCTCTAGTACATTTAACTTTGGCTGAAGAAAGTACCACAATAAATATCCTGAATCTCTGTGAGAGAATAAGTCGATGGCACTAAGTATAGCAAACCAGAGCTGTGCTAGGAGTTTGCTTCCTTTATTTCAAATACATTCTGCCTTGGAATAATACTTTTGAAATGTGAGACCCAGACAGACAGAGTGCTGTACAGGCAATAGCTTGGTGTCCAGGGCAGTCAACTTCAATGGAGGAAACTCAGACTTAAGTCCTCAATTAGTCAGCTACTCTTGTGCCCCCAAAGTGTACTGAGCAGCAGATCCATCATAATTCTGGGAAACTCTTCCTAATAAAACTATAGCTGATATTGTTACGTCCAGTCCATTGATTTTCTTTTTCTGGACAACACCCCCTTTCCCTCCCCTAGACTTTAGTCAAGTTTCCTGACGAGTCCTCTTTTGAAATCACCTAAATTACAAGATACCATAATTAGAAATAGTAAATTCACGGCACAATTTACATTTTCATTTCCCTTTAGGGATCTATTTTATGTGACATTTTGAGCTATAATTATAAGTGGCCTTAATTTATTAAAGCATGAAGTAGAGTTACATCACGGTCATTCCAAGGTCTCGGATAATTGCTCTCTGTCTAAAGCAGTGTATGCAAGGTTGGTGTCTGACTCACAAAACATGTTAAAACCCGAGCAGTGGATTTGTATCCAGAAACTCCTTAGTTGAGACATTATCTGAGCACTGATAACATTTTATGAAGCTTTTCACTTCACATCTTTCATCCATGTTCTTGATCTCTGTGAAGGAAACTAAAGGCTGTTCAGTTCACCTTCTTGCTAAGGGCTTGTACATTTATATCATTGCTGATAATAATAATCATATATCTGTAAACTTATCATTTTCCTTCAGCATGCCATCTAAACCAACAACACTTGCTGTTAAAGCTGTTGAAAATTCAGAATTCAAACAGGCAACTAGCAATGGGGTTGCTAAAGAGCTGAAATCCAGCAGCACTGAACTCATGATTGAAACCAAAGACAGGGTGTCAGCAAAGAAAGAGACCTTTTACATCGCCAGAGAAGCCAAAGACAGTAAGCAGGGACAGCACCAAGAAGCCAATGCAGTGTCTCCTCAAGAACCTAAAGAAGGAAAAAAGGGTTCTCAGATCCTGCAGAAAACTTCAAGCACCATCACACTACAAGCTGTCAAACTGCAACCAGAACCAAAGGCAGAGCCCCAGACCACTTTCATCAGACAGGGTGAAGACAGGAAAAGGGCTGTGCAGCCCCTGATGTCAGCTCAGCAAACCCCCTCTCTGACAGGGCAAGTCAGTCCGAGGAGTAGAGAAGCAGAAAACAAATCTCGAACCCCGAAGACTGTATTGGAGGAGAAGAGGGAGCCTCTGGGAATTCCTCCTCAGTTTGAGAGCCGTCCACAGAGCCTGGAAGCATCAGAAGGCCAAGAGATTAAATTCAAGAGCAAAGGTAAAGGGATGAAAGTTACCAGAGCCCTGGGGTTAGTTAGTTTCCCATTCTGTGTGCAGAAGTGGGAAGTTCATTGCAAGTTGTCCTCCTCCTAAAGCATGTGGGAAATAGATGCAGAATCTCATGCTGTTTCCACAATACTCTTCTCACTGACATTTTCAAATCATTCCATACCGTAACGTCCATCCCTTCTCTCATCTTGTGTTTCACCAGATGTAATCAATGCCACCCTTTCTTGGAGGTAGTTTTAGGGCCTCTTATATGAGGGTGCAAGAGAGAAAATGGATGGTACGCTTTCCAGAACTGTAATTATTTATATTGCTCTTGAGCCAAAAAAATTATCAGATAAGAAACTACAATCGGTCACTGCATTTACCTTGCAGCATCTACTTTTACCCCTCATATTTGGTCAACCCAGTGCTGATCTGAGTGCTTCCTAACAGCTGAAATGATAAAGTTAGAACTAACAGGGAGGTTTAGATTTTGCTCTGCAGAATTTGACCGGGTTTTAACCTCTCAGAAGAGCAAGGAGAGCTGCATTTTGCTGAATCCAGGGAGTAGATTTGGAATGCTTTTTTTCTTTAATTACAGTTTTAGTAGAAAATAATTTGGAAGAATTTTTCTGCTATTTTTTTAAAATAACATTTGCACTTTAAAGTGTTCCCACAAGTGAGAGAGAAATTGTTTTTTATGTCTCTGGAGGAAAAAAAAATTCACAACAAAACCATGGTAATTTATTTCATTTCTTGATAGTTCTTGCCCCATGAGTAAAGAATACAATTTATTTCACAAGGCCAGAGAGTGAGGAAGGGAGCAAATATTCCAAAGATCCTGGCACCTTTCAAATAGTTTGTTTTTCAGGTATAGTAGTGCTGAGAACTTGGAATGCTTTCCATCAGAGCATCTCAGAAACATCGCAAGGTTTAACTCATGATCCTGTTTGGCAGGGAAAAATAGTCCCTATTGTACAGAAACTGAAGAGGTCATTCAGTTCTTACTGAAGCTAGTGAGTGCCTTTTCGTTTGGCTTTGGACCCAAAGCACAAACCCTTATGTGCAAAGTCAAGGTGTCTGTGGGGAAGTTACAATGGAATGTCCCTAGTGCGCTTTAATAAGTAACCCGAGAAACACTTTCCTGAGGATCCTCTCTGCAAAGGGTGACCAGAGTCTGCTTCCTGGTTGCAATGGACAATGGAAATGCTATCACACCCTTAAGGAGGCTTCTACCTGCCCGGCTGTCAGGTCAGCATGCTTCTGGGTCTGTACGGTTACTACCAAGCACCCAGGTTCTTTGACACTTCAGGCCTTGAATTTCTGCCCGCCCCCCCCCCAGCTTTTGGAGGTTCTGCCACCTCCACTGTTTGTCACTAATTTTCTATGGATTCCAATGTTCTCTTTCTTTGCTGGAGGCAGTGGGAAGAGAATCTTTTCTGAATAACTTCTAGTTTCTAGTGGAAAAAAAAAAAATCATAGAAAAAGGACACTTCCTGCTTTCCACTGCATGCAATGGGCATTCCATTTTTTGGCCAATTTGTGGGTGTAATGGTAACCTCCCCCTTCCATATTTTTTATGGATTTGGAGAATTTGGAGCTGGATTTAGGGGCTGCTTTTTTTCTTTTTTTCCCCAAAGAGAAGGAATTCCTTGTTCTCATGTTTCTAGTGGGATCCAGCTTCTAGCGAAGGGTTCCTCTCCTTGATAATTCACTCCCCTATCCTTGTAATTTCTCTGTTCAGAAGGGTTTCCTGCGATGTATCATATGCCTTCATTGCAGATATTGCCACCACCTTGTACTGTTTGTGCCTTTCTCTGGGGCTGAGCACTCTTGCTATAATGAAATGATTAGAGCTGAGGAGCAACATCAGCAAAGTGGAAGCCTCAGAGGGCCTTGTTTGCTGAAAAGAAGTGAATGATGCTGTGGGTGACCTTTTGTGGCATTTTTTCCTAGCCTCTTCTCTTTGCTCGTCATAGCAACTGCCCCATGAAGCCCAGACCTCCCTCAACACTACTAGGAGCCAAATTGTGTTTCTAGGGCTCTGACACAGGTAAAGTGGGCAGTGAAGCCACAGCTGTTTTGCTTCTGCTCCCTGAAAGTTTACTGTCCTAGGAAGCTGCCTGCCTTGCCTACACCTGGACCCTAGTCTAGAAAAAAATAGCCAGAATCACAGAATGTTTGAGGTTGGAAGGGACCTCTAGAAGTTATCTGGTTCAACACCCCTGCTCATGCAGAATCACCTAAAGCAAGTTGTCCAGGACTGTGTCAAGGTGGCTTTTCAATATCTCCAGGGAGGGAGACTCCACAACCTTTCTGGGCAACCTGTGCCAGTGCTCAGTAATCCTCACAGTAAAGAAGTGTTTATGTTCAGACAGAACCTCCTATGTTTCAGCTTGTGGTCATTGCCTATGGTCCTATCACTGGACACCACTGAAAAGAGCCTGGCTCCATCATCTTTACACCCTCCTTGCAGATATTTGTATACATTGATGAGATCCCCCCTTGAGCCTTCTCTTCTCCAAGCTGAACAGTCCCAGAATAAACAACCTCAGTGGTAGGTACTGTGGATTGTAGAGTACTGCTAGGTGCCCAGAGAAACCAATTTAGCAGAGTAGGAAGGAATGGGGAGAAATTTATTTCTTTTCCCTCTAATATCTCATCACATCCATTTTTATCTGTAACTTTTAGAGGAACAATTTTCAGACAGAAGTGCTTGCGGATTTTCAAGTTACCAAATATTTGTTATTTCAAAAGATGGACTGGCCAAGAGGTTTTGGAAGATCAGAAATACCAAACCATCTTTTTGAAGATAGTTTTGTGTATTACTTGTTTGTTAAGTTTTATATAATTATGTATGTGTAAATTATACCTAATTTACACTAAAGCAAATAATGGAATTACGCTAAGGGGAATACCTGTTCATAAAAATTCAAATACCTGATTATCTAGTTTCAGGGAAACCAAAACCAGATGTGGAGTGGTTCAAAGAAGGTGAACCTATTAAAGCTGGAGAGGATGTACAAATCTATGAAGAAGATGGAATTCATTGCCTATGGTTAAAGAAAGCCTGTTTGGGGGACAGTGGATCTTATAGCTGTGCAGCTTTCAGCCCCAAAGGCCAAACTTCCACGAGCTGGTTGTTAACTGTCAGAAGTAAGTTCTTGTGAGCCCATCTGTACTTTGAAAACTGTGGCTGGGCTTTTCTAAGCTGTCAGAGAGTGGTCACTACAAAATTTCTATTATGACTTCTCAGTGCAGGTTAATTCTGATTCCTAGCTCTGTGAATAATGTGGTATGGGATAGCTGGCAAGCCACTTTCTGCATCAGTTTCCCTTCAGACCTTTTGTTTTTGTTGTTTGTGTAACTAAAACCATCTCATTGAATGTTTTGAACACAGGGAAGCCTGTTCTCCACTGAGGTTTTCTGTTAATGCTTGTATTTAATACAGGTTGCCAAAGATTTTATCTTGTTGTTCTGCATTCAGTTCTTTTGGAGTTGCTTGGCATTCCTAAAAAACACATCTGAAATGTTTTGTGAGCACAAACCAATCCTGTTCAGTAAAGCGAATAAGAAAAGTGAAGGAATGAGAATTGCATTCTGCTACATTCAAGTTCACCTCCCAGTGACAAATTATTTTGAGCTTGAAGGCACTGTCTTACTAGCCTGGTTGAAAGATTTGTTGGCCTCTTAGCAAATCCTGTCCTCAATTCTAATCTTTTCACCTGGTTTTAGGTTTTGTCCTGGAGCTATGATCATGTTTATGCAACATTTCTCTATTTGCTGTGCCTGAGGTTAAACCAGGATACCCAAGATACTCTCTTTCTGTCTCATGAAAGACCTGTAAACTCACTGCCAGCCAGGGGAAATTTGGGAGAGGGACTAGGAAAAGACAGACAAGAGGAGAGAAGGATTATCCTTCCTGTTCTTTGTGCTGAGCTGCCTGGTACTGTGTTGCATACACTTCTAGAGATTGGCTGCAGATGGTGGATTCTGGCATAGAAAACCACTGCCTGAAATACAGCTTGAGGGCTGGCAACGCCTGCCTTGTAGATTATAGAAGAACCCCTTCTTTATACCAGTCCATTGCTCAAAATGATTTATGCTTCCCAATAAAACATTTAATCATAGTTATGAGTCTCTCTCTCTTTTTTTTTTTTTTTCTGCTTGTTTACATAGGATGAATCTGTTAGCCCAGCCGTATCACCTAAGCGTACCTAGAAAAAGTCACTAAGTGGTAAAGATAATTTGTCGATTTGGGTTAAAGGAACTGTTTTCGTTTTGGTTTTAAAGGGCCTAAAGTTCAAGAGGTTGCTCCATGCTTTTCCAGTGTCTTGAAAGGATGCACTGTGAGTGAAGGGCAAGACTTTGTGCTGCAGTGCTGTGTAGGAGGCGTACCTGTGCCTCAGATCACATGGCTTCTCAATGGTAAGGAATCCCCTGGTCTGCAATACGTGCATGCACGCACCTACACCCCCAGTCTCAAATGCCCGTCTGACCAGTTCATAGCAAGGCTGTGAATTCTGCACAAAGCACTCTAAATCACTGTCATAGAATCCACTAGAATATTTGAAGAAAATCAGTTTATGTGCACATAATACGCACGAAGGGTGGTTTTCTTTTCTGTCTTATGCAGTTCTCCAGTATGTCCAGCAGGGGACTCTGGTGACAAGATTGTTCGCAGATGGGTTTCCTGGGCTTTGTCAGACACGGCTGTTCACCACGCCGCAGCAAAGCCTGTGTTGCTACTGTGTGCTGAATCTTGTGCTATCCCCCACTTCTCTGGCACTAGCCTCTGCTCCGAGAGTAACGGGTTGCAGGGGTAATAAGTTCTAAGCAAAACAAGTGCAATATATCACTCTTGACGGCAGGAAGGAAACCTGTGCCTGATTCCACTCTTCCATCATCTGGGCAGGTTGTTATTGATATTAGGAGCTATGTCCCCAAGATCTTAAAATCACAGCTTTTCTGGTTGCTTCTCTACTAGAAATATGTTCCTTGAGATTCTAACGCTTGCCCCAAGCTGACTTAAAAAAAGGATAAGTAAAATATTTTTTTCTTTCATCAGGTTGTATCGTCTCTGATTACAGAGGTGAATACCCTGCCCTGATTACACAACTGCACATGCAAGTCTTCTTAACAGTCCCCTCTTAATACTGCAGTTGGGTCCAAACATCAGCATTTTGCTTAGATTGCAAATTATTTCAGAGATCCAGGGAGTACATGCTTTGGCTAAGGGCTCTTTCCATTTACAGCCATATCTATTAAATACTAGATAGCTTAACCCTTGATCACCTCTGTTACTCCTGAATTGCAATTGATTTTTTTTGCGGACTCTCCCGAGCTATCTATCTTTGTGCACATGTGTGTGTGTGTGATTTAAAGACAAAGAATAGCATACTGTGCCATACAGATGTTTCCTCCAGGATTGTTTTAAAATTAATTATTTGTACATGATCTCTGTTTTTCTTTAGCTATTCAGAGTAAATGGCATAACTGAAAAAGGTGGCAGGGAAAATGAACCCTGACCTTGAGACAGGTATGTTCCCACAGCCTGGTCTGTTCCCCTTCCCAATAGCTCCCTGTCTAGAATGGAAAGGCCACTGCTTTATTTACAACATGAAACGTGAGTAAAGGCTCTGACACTCCCCTATTGGAAATAATTTGTTTCTCTGTCTGAAGGCTACTCTGTAGTTCCTCCTTTGCCCACGTGAGTAGAATCACTGTCTTGCTATGCAAGAGTTGTCTTGCAGCACAGGAGGAGCAACTCTTAACCATAGGGTCAGTCATTTCATCTTCAAGTTCCAAGGGTATCCCCTGCTCACAAAGAGTTCCCATAGTCATTGAGTTATGTAGATATACCCAGTTGTCTTCCACATACAGAGCATCTTCCTGCCTCAAATGACTTTCTGTGTTACAGTTCACCAGGCATAGATACAGCGTCTCTATTGATATAACCGTCCTCTGATTTGCTAACCAGAAAAACAGTGTCTCCTGAAAAATGAGAGATCAGTAAGCAACATGTTTCTGTAGGCCTCTAGTAGGCACTGTGTGTCCACCCCCCCTTTTCACTATGTTTGTTCTGCATTGACCTTTCTTCTCACTAATCTCAGACGAGTCTGCCCCTGTTCAGGTATAACCATCCAAGCTTCTAACCGCAATTGGATCAATATCACAAGGAGACAGAAGCAGGTGGGTTTTTTCCAGATAGCTGGATTTCAGACCATTAGGGTTCTGTAAGTGGAAGCCAGTGCATTAACTCTGCTCTTAAATCAAAAGGCAGTGATGAGCCAGAGTTACAGAAGCACAAGAAACTATCATAATAATAGTAATGTATGATGTCCCTAATTTTTTATCTAAAGACTTAAGCACATTAATTTAATTCCAGACACCTAAAACATGCCACTATAATTTAGTATTTTTCTGTCTTGCATCTGATTGTGATATATAACTGTTTATATACTGTTTTGATACAAACTGGAATGGATTATAAACAGTTGTTTAATGCTGATAATTCCATGTACACTCCTAGGTCATTATTTTACCTAAGGATCAAAATGGCTATTGTGTTATCCATTTGAATGCAAACATTTCCTTCCTGTCTACCAGCTAGACCAGCTAGCTAGATACTACAAACTTACTGCAAACTTCTCATAGTTATATCCATTAGCAAATAAAGGAGAAAGTTGTGTTTCTGGTTCTGAAGTATTACTCCAAGCAGACGTAACAATGCTTTTGGGAAAATGATGTGATGGAGCCTTTCATCGACTGGCCTTATGAAGAAAACCATATATTCACAGTAAACAATTTGAGGCAGGCAGATAAATTTTGTTTTTAAAAAAGGTGTGTTACAATCTACTCTCCATGCTTGGAATATAAAGCTTTTTACCTTCACAACCGATAGGCTGCGGCAGAGAAAAACGCAATCTTCTGAGAGCAATCACACTGCTCTTCAAACTATAGCACTTTTGCAGAACTCTGTAGAAATAAAAATCACAGGGCACAGGATGTGTACAGTTCGCACTAAAATATCAAATGCAAATAGTCTTCCAAGCATGACAGCGATAACAAACTAGAATGAATTTTTGAAAGGAACGGTGAGAAAATGCATGTATCTCAGTGAAATAATGAATGTAAAGACCAAGTAATCAAATCATAACAAAACCATGATTTCTCCTGGAGAAAAGGAGATTGCTCTCTACAACTACCTGAAAGGAGCTTGTATTGAGATAAGTGTTGGTCTTTTCTCCCAAATAATACATGACAGGATGAGAGGAAACTGCCTCAACTGCTGCCAGGGGGGATTTAGATTGGACATTAGGAAAATTTTCTTCACTGAAAGGGTTATCAAGCACTGGAACAGGCTGCCTAGGGAAGTGATGAAGTCCTCAGCCTTTGAGGTACTTAAAAGATATGTAGATGTGGTGCTTGGGGACATGGTTTAGTGGTGGACTTGGCAGTGCTAGGTTAACAGTTGGACTCAATGATCTTAAAGGTCTTTTCCAACCTAAACAATTCTGTGATTCTATGAACAGAAGGCTGCTTTGAGAATCAAATAAAAAATAGGAAAAAAGCAGAACAATCTCACTCCTAATCTGGCCAGCCCTTGATACTGAACAGCCTGTATACTGTCTGGTCTGCCTGACCATGATCTCCGAGGATTTCACACCACCTGAGAACTGAGACTTGCAATAACTCCTTGTACAATGTTAAATACAGTACTAATTCAGATACTGAGCATTTTTACCAGCTGTGACTACATACCCATTGAAAATATTTTCCAAGCCATTATATAGATTGACTTCTCCTCTTTGTGGTCAACCAAGACAAAGAATAGATGATATGTGCCGTGCATTGCATATAATTAATTCTTGGCATCTCTGGGGATAAGTAGTTTTTCCATATTCATTGAGATTGCACAAATAAGAGCTACCTGACAGAATTATGGATTTTATTCAAGCCCTTACTCTTCTCTGCAGCTCTACCATCTTCAGGTTTTTTCTTATACTTTTTATGATTCAAAGCTTTTTTCCAACTTTTTCAAGACAGTTCTTTTGTCCTGTTGCTCTTACTCTGCCCTTTCTTTTAGGTTTCTTTCTGATTTTTTGCTGATTTACTGGCAAATTCCCTGAAAGTAAACTTGTGTTTTAGTTCTGGCCTCACCAAAGCCTTATAAATGACTTTTTACATGTGCTCTCTATGACAATACTTCAGTACGTAACTCCAAATTGCAGGAATAAGACCTAGATGACTGTGTTTTAAATATCTCTCTTTTCATATTGCTTTCCATGTTGTTTTTTTTTCCCCCTGGGTTGAATTGAACCTCTTTCTGCTGAATTTAAAAACAGTGTGACCATGACTTTAGCATAACAATGCTCTGAGTAGTGTTTGGTTTTAGGATAGCTTTCTGATCTGTCCAGAAAGCTTTTAATAAATGGGCCAGGGGAAAATTTCCTTTCTTCTGGCATAACATGCCAGCAAAAAGGTATTTTTTTGTTATTGTTCCTGCTGCCAAACTGTCACGGAGGTTTGACTGTTCTGGCTCTGGAGAAGGGAACATTTCACTACTGGGAGAGTTGTTTTTATTAGATCAAAATATAAGTACAATGGACATAACTTAGAATCTTGCTGCAGGTTATTCCTCAGGCTGATATACTTGTGTTTGTTTTCAGGGGTCTGATGAAAAGGCTATTCTGTACGTTAATTCACTGTTCTGTGAATAGTGCCAAAAAATAGTCACAGTTTTGCTGGTAGCTGGAGTGAAAAAGGATACGCCCTCACAAAATTTGAGGACAAGGCGAAGGAGACCACATTTTCTTTTTCCATGTAGAAAACTTACCCTGTTCATTTCTTTATTTACAACAGAAATAAGAGTATTGTTCTGGTTTTGATTATGTGGCTTTTATCCTGAGTGTATTTCTGATACGGTTATCATCGTAGCATCATTAGGCACCATTAATAGTTTCAATGTCAGAATCCCAGACAGGATCTCTGCCAGGTTACAGTCAGACCAGGAAGGCCATCCAGCACCCCATGTCCTCTTACAGAAAGCTTTGTCTGCTTGGGCTTTAGCTCTATAGGTACATATTCAAATGTAATGTTATTCCCACATGCAAACAATATGTGATTGGACCTAATAGTTACAACAGTCTGTGTGTAACTGAGTGAAAGAGAGCTCAAAGGAACCAGTAATAAGAATACATGACCTGAAGAAGATGGAGAGAGTTTATTCTAAAATTGGAGTCTTCTGGGCAGTTGATTAAATATTCACCCCAGTATTTCATGTGGTAGAGAACTTGCTAACTTAACAAAGAGATAACTTATAAGTAAAGGAACAAAATCATCCACCACATTTTATAATATATGAAAGTATTAGATCATGCAGATTTTGGCACATGTTTGTATTTCAGAATGAAACTTCGTATGCACACAGGTAGTGCTTAGATAGTGACTGCCTTCTGAGTTTGCTGTTGTTGAAAATCAGAGATGTGAGAAAAATCTGTCCCATCATTTAATTTATCCTGCTCATAGTGCAGGGCTGGTTCTTAGAAGCCCCAGAGCTTTTTCATAATCTTTTAAAATTATTTTGTCAACTAAACAGATTTTGATCTTTCCTTTTGACTGTGATTTCCCAAGTGACAGATGTCTGATTCGATCCTGCACAATTTCTCTGCAGTTTCACCCTCTTCTCCTGGATGACCCTAATTTCTTTTTCCAGTATCATGTTTATGCACAGATATCAGGCCCTCTTAAGCATTGCATACACTGGGAAAGCAACCAATGATGAGTCAGTAGTGGAAACTATTTAATATTAGGAAAACAGATTGCAGAAGCATTTCAGAAAGTAAGGCTGAGATTGATGACAGTTCCTGAAACAGTAGCAAAGCAACTTTAACTGACGTTTAAGTATGTTCCGAACTAATTCAAGGAACCAGTTTCTTAAAATTAACTTCTTTAATAATCACATCACCACAGATCAGACTCTACCTGTTGATTACGACTATACATACTGTAGAGTAGTTCGACTGCTTGTGTAAATTGGCCTCTTGGCTCCATCGTGGATTTTGCTGTCTCTCTTGGAATGTCTTCCACTACTAAGTACTTGATGGGTGACTTCAAGTGCTTCTCCATGCCCAACAGATTTTGCACGTCTAGACAATAATGCTAATACCTGGTTTCAGGCAAAGCACAAGATGGAGACAGCGTCTGAAGCAAACATGCAAGGCTTTTCTTTTCTTATCCACCTGAAAGAGAATCTATTCAAAGTACAAAGATAAACCTTTCTCCTTTTGCTGCTACTCAAGGTAGCACCCAGTGAACCTAAGGGCAGCATTTGTCTGACAACCATGTTCTGCTTTGTGCTTGGGATGCAGCTGGTTTTTAGTCACTAGAGAGCAGTGGCTGTGCACCAGAGAGTGGGATTTGGCTCTGCAATTTAATATACCGGCTGGTGTTAGGCATCCAGAATTCACTGAAAACAAGAAGTGCTTTTGAAACTTGTGGCTGATGTTAAGACAATTCTCTTCCTTTCTGTCTGCAGAGCAGCCAATTCAGTATGCCCATTCAACTTTTGAAGATGGAGTTGCAAAATTGACTGTCCAAGATGCCCTACCAGAAGATGATGGCATTTATACCTGTCTGGCTGAAAACAACACAGGACAGGCATCTTGCAGTGCTCAGGTCACAGTCAAAGGTGAATATCTCAGCATGCTGTAATTACTGCAATGAAACCAGCTATAATCTTTTTTTTAAAAAAAAAAAACTGGGTCCTTGACGGACGTGGTTGTAAGTGGATTCCATGTTTTTCCCAGGCTGTTGTCAGCTGGATACATGTTCTCCCCCTTGAAGGTGTGTGCAACTTAAGTGCTTAAGGACTGTGAAATGTAAAGTAATATGCATGTTTCGTAAAATATTATTAATGCTCTAACCTTACCAGGAAGGCTTTAGTGTGGTACAGAGCAGCGAGGCTGAGTTTTGGAAGAGGTGTACCAGTGTAGGAAAGGACTGTTGCTGCTGAAAGAAAACTAAGTGCAGTATCACCAGTATCACCCACCAGGCAGACAGTGTTATGGTGAGGAGGCAGATGCTACTCCTTTCTCTTGAAAGGCAGAGCAGAGAGACGAGTGCCAAGGATGTCAATTATGATAGCAAATGCCAATATTCTTGTTCTGCTACCAGGATTTATCAGAGATAATTCTGAAGAGGTATGTATCGGCTAATTGGGACCAGTACATCTCTAAATAAGCAGAATTTTGGTAGTGAAAGTACCAGAAGAACGCTTTAGTAAGCAGTGGAGGTGATCTGTTGTCTCTGAAATCCGAGAGCATCCTGTTTGCAAATATGAATAATTTGATACCCTTAGTGCTGATTTAACATAGATTATTTGTCTGTGAAAGCCGTAATTCTGCACCAGAATTTGAACAAACATAGCCTAAAAGATCAGAGATCGCAATGAAGACAAGAGATGACAGAATCCCATGGATAAATTGAACAGTGAGGTATTATCAATCGGTATTACGGTCTTTATTCTTATGATCTCACCGGGCATCAGTTTATACAGGTGTTTCATTTTGTGGCCTGAAGATGATCAGCCCCCTCCCTCTACAATCCCCCTCCTCAGACTTCCCCTCCCTCTACATTCAAGCCTGTATTTGGTATTTGTCATCTGCAGATGATTTTTTCCCCAGATTTATAGAAGATTGGTACTGCCTGTCCAACAGACTGCTGCGTGACAGCTGCCAAGGGAACTATTCCTTTTGTCTGTGACCAGATAATACCTGGCCTGAATCTGTACATGCAGCTTGGTGGGAAATGTACCCTGATCCCTGGGATCCCAAGACTTGTCTTCGTTTGCCAGTGTTCTGTGGTGTTTGTCTACAGCACTTCAGTGGTATGCCTGCCCCTATTCTGTCTGTACAAATCCACTTAAAAGCCTAGACAAGCTTAAAATGAAAACAAAGTAATTCTGGGAAACCTATGAGTTAATTTCTTGATTACCAAACTGGAAATGCAGTCGTCCCCCGCCCCGCCTTCCCCCTCCCCCCAATAAAAGGCGCAAAGTAGGAAAACATTGATTTAAAATAAGCCTGAAACTAATCTCTTCTCAAAGCTGTCATTTATAATTTCTTTGGAGCATTTCATCTGTATTAGCCAAGGGCCACTGAAGAGCACTCCACCTCAAGGGAGCTGTCTTTGAGATGGGACCTGCTCATTCTTCACTGGGACACAGAAACCAAAAAGACAGCCCCTGTCTTACTAACCGTTCCTGAGTTATTTTAGGGTTGATACAATGCTAACGTGGGAGCCACAGTGACCTAGCTTTTCCCTGGGCTTGACTACTCTGCTGGGCTATTTCAGGCTACCTAGTCGCTGTTGCACTGAGTTAGATTTCTCCTGTAGTTTAGCTAGTCGGGAGCTAGAAAGCTGCATTGCCCCTATTATGGGGAGTTAGTTCCTTTCTTTTGCATCCCGTTCTATTTTCTGGGATTCATGGAGTGTGGGGGGAAGAACAAGAGCAGAATTAAGAACATGCATGACCAGCTGTAAAGCCACATGTTCAACATTTTTACAGCTTTAGCTATCCCCTTCATTTCCTCCCTAAAACTCATTATGTCCCTGTTGCCTTGAGGATTACAGTAACTTTCTCGAAGACTCAGATCAATGTGGATTTGCCTGACAAAAATAGTACCAAATTTAAAATCACGGTTTCCAAATCTCTTACCTTTTCATCTATTTTTTCCATCAGACCCTCTAGCAAATGCTTACGGGCATTAGAGTTCTCTGAGACTCTGAATGCTGCTGCTAAGGCTTCTCTAAATGCTCAACTTTTACAGCCCGATTACAGCAGGAAATCAGTGTACATGCAGAAAGAGAGAAAACTTTAAAAATCGTTCTCCTGACCAGACATTGATTTTTGGAATAGTCTGTAAAAACTTTCTGAATTGTAACCCGTCTCTGTCTGGTTCCTTTTGTCTCCGAGATGATTTAAGGTTTTCAGGTTTTATGCAGTGCTCAGGTTGTTCATTCATTGCTAGAAAAATACTTTCCTTTTATATGTGAAAACTAGTTTGTATTTAATCTAAGAAGGAATGGATGTTCTTGGCATGTCATCAGTATCGGACCAGTGTCAGAATTCGGCTTTTCCTTAACTTGCTACTGTGGTTCTTGGACACATCTCTGAGTCTGCCTGGGTCTGTGTTTCACTTCATATTGCCATTTTTGGCTTTGCTATTCTAATGCAGCAAGAGTTGCATGGAGGGGAAATATCTGCTGTGATCCTTGGAGAAACTTCACCTGGAGTGAATTGCCTGTCTTAACAGTAAAACTCAATTTTGCTTTTCAAAGGCAAAAAGCTCCACCTTCTAAATTAAATTAAGCTCACAGAACTCAGAAAAGTCCCATACTGGCAGCAATGATAGTGAGTGACAAACTGGTCAAAGCAAAAAAAACCCCACAAACAACCAGAACATAAGCCTCATGTCTGAGTTGTATTACAAGATGAATCTTAAACCTGCTAGTAGGTTATAGGTGTTATCTGGCCACATAGAGTCATTAGGTTGGAATAGACCTCTACAGTCAAGTCCAGCCGTTGACCTAATACATATTATGTTTTCTGATCATCCTTTGTGCATTCTTTGTCCTTCAGAAGATCTGTTGCTATGTTTTTTTTCAAAGGAAATTTCCTGTGTTGGATTATTGTAGGAATCACAGAATCACAGAATGTTGGGGGTTGGAAGGAACCTCAAAAGATCACCTAGTCCAACCCCTGCTGCCAGAGCAGGACCACCTAGAGTAGATCACACAGGAACGCGTCCAGGTGGGTTTTGAATGTCTCCAGAGAAGGAGACTCCACAACCTCTCTGGGCAGCCTGTTCCAGTGCTCTGCCACCCTCACAGTGAAAAAGTTTTTCCTTAGGTTAATTTGAAACCTCCTATGCTCCAGCTTGCACCCGTTGCCCCTTGTCCTGTCATTGGCCATCACCAAGAAGAGCCCGGCTCCATCCTCCTGACACTAGCCCTTTATGTATTTATAAGCAACATTTTAAAGGCCCTTTGCCCCATAAAAGGCTACTGCTCCAAGTCCTGTTAAACACAAGGTGGGGATTTTTCCAGTACTTTCAGTATGCTTTGCATCGGGCCCTGGGTAAACAGCTGCTATTGTGGCATAGCATTCCTTCTAAGTCATCAGTCTCAGATTCATTTATGGTTGTCTTTTGCTTCCGTATTATTAAGCAGGATAAATTCTGCCTAGCACTGAGCAACCTCAGTCCGTCCTTGGTTTTGTATGTAAAATGCTGAAGGTTCTTAGCTGTTTCTAGGAGGCTTTTGGCAGTGTCAAGAAAGTCCCGCACTTCATAAGGGTGGGGCATAAGAAATGCAATGATCTTAAATAATTCGAACTAATCAGTCTTCTGCTTATTTAAGACAAGAAAATAACATCTTCAGACTACTTAAGTGATCTGAAGGCTGAGTAAATTGGGATAGATCCATTAGGTAGTCTGTGGAGAAACTAAGTTAATCAAGGTGAAGCTAATTTTGGCCTTGTAAAAGACTAAGTAGACTAAATTGAATCCTGACAGTAGTTTCTTCCAGCTGAAATACAGGTACAGAGGTACTACAGAAAATGAGCAGCGCTTCCTTGAAAAACCAGCCTAACAAATGTCTTCACCATGAGAACTTTTCCTAACTGAACTCTCCAGTGAGCGGGGTACATCGGATGGGTTGCTAGATTAATTAGTCTAATGCAAGAAAACCTGAGAGATGAGAAACATGGTTCGGGTTACTCAAACAGTCAATGATAGATGTTCCTGAAGTGGTAGCATTGCGGCTCTGCAAATGTTAGAATTGTTTTCCTTTAAACTTATACATAATTTTCTATACACAGGAAGATCAGAATTTGGGAGGCTTTGGGGCCGATTTACAATTTTTTTTTTAGTTTTTAAGCATGTGCATGACTGAGTTGTTTCTGTTATCGTATGTGCAAGCTAAGCAATTGGGTTCATGTTCACATTTAATATTACAGTTTCCATATTGTTTTGTGATATGAAAATAAGTATGCAAGCCTTTTTTTTTTTTAAATACACCAGACATCCCATTTTGGAAAAAAAAAAAACAAACAAAAACACAAAACCAAAACAGAAAAACTTCTTAACAGGGATATAGAGGGTACATTCAGGTCACCTGAAGTATACAGTGATATATATACTGATGGTGATTGTAGATACTGAAGTTGAATATTAATATTAATCAGCTCTTTACCAGGGTGGCTGAACATTTGCATGAGTTTTTTATGAACAGGAAACTGAGGTGAGGAGAAGTTAATTGACTTTGGATGTCCCTGTGTAGTGCATCAGTGTTAGTGCTTTCCTCTAGCTATGACCATCAGAGTATATAGGCAGGACAACTAGTGGTAATAACTGGCACAGTTGGAAGGTGGGGCCAGCTCCCAGGCCTAGTAACTGTTCTTCAGGTCTGCCTCATACCTGAGATAATCCTTCTGATATGTCATTGTCTTTGTCAGTTAAATAATCACTGACAAGAAATTATAGGTCAGATCCACCCATAGAAAAGCTGTGTCAAAGGGATATTTAACCACCTGATGTTCACAGCAACACCTGGGTGTACTGTACAAGATTACAGTCTGGAGGGAGAGAGGGACTAGGGATGGGGCATATGATAGTCTCAATCTACTGT